AGGCGGAAGGAGAAGCGGCTTCTGCAGGCGGTGGCGCTGGTGCTGGCGGCCCTGGTCCTTTTACCCAACGTGGGGCTCTGGGCGCTGTACCGCGAGCGGCAGCCCGACGGCACCCCTAGGGGATCCGGGGCAGCGGTGGCCCCGGCAGCCGGACAGGTGAGTCCCCCAATTGCCATGGAGTTGGGAGCACGCTCTCCCCGAATTCACTTCTAGCCTTCGGTTCCTTCCTCCACCGTCCCCTGTCTGCCTCCTCAGAGTCAGCGCCAGAGTCTTCTCTGTTCTTCCCTTTTTTTTTGGATGGGAAAATTGAGACTCAGAGAAGGATGGGGACTTGTCTATGTCCCCATGCCATTCAGAAACCGAGCCAGAACTAGAAATCAGGACTCCTGATGCCCAGTCTGATGGTCATTTCTTACGACAGGTTACCCATCCTACCTTTCTGCCCCTGTCTGGTGTCTCCTCTCCTCTTCCAACATCAGTCTTTTTTGGAGGATCCTGTCTGCATCCCTGTATCCCAGGATGACTCCTTATTATAAAGATGCTGGTCCTTCTGTTTGGTGTTAAGGTCTTTTCTGCTTTTTCCCCCACCTCCTGATCTCGGTGCTCCCTACTCAGGTCAGCCCCTTTCCTGTTTACCTATTTGCCCAAAGAAACACCTGGGCCTCCCTTCTCTCCACATTTATTCACCCTCCTTCCTTCCCAGCCTTATTTCTTTCTCAGATCCTGTGGATTCCTTGAAGGATGCAAAGATCATGCTCCCCTTGGAGCTTCAGGCCCTGGGGGATTGGAGTGGTTGTGCGGCTGGTCTTTAAGGGGCCTTTGACTTTCTGAGAATCCAGAAGTAGGGGCTGTGGTGGAAGGACTCCCAAATTTCCCAAAGGCTATTTGTGCCTGTTGTTCTGAGTGTGGAACATCAGATGCCTTCTCTGCCGCTTCTCAGAGTACCTGTGACCCCTTCTGAACTTGTCTTGGCTGATTAGGTTTGGTGTTCTTTGCAGCCAAGACTGGGATCTTAATTGTTTTTGTCTCCTCTGAACTCACTCATACACATTTGTGTGTGTGAGTGTGGGTGTATGTGTGTGTGGGTGTGTGTGTGTGTGAGTGTGTGGTAAGTACATATATACTGATAGCAAAAGCTCTGTCACATCACTCCTACCTTCCCAGCTCCTGGCTCAGTGGGTGCCAGTGAGAGTATAAATGCCTGAACTGTTTCACACAGAGGGATGTTTCAGGTTCTCTTGTGGGATTTGCTCTATCCCAGGGTAAGTGGATAATTGTGCATCACGGTTGAACTTGACTGATGGTTGGCAGGACAAGAGAAGAAGCTGACTTTGGATGCTTCTTTCATTTCCCAGGATCAGGCTGCTGTCTGGGACTGTCTGGCATCTTGAGTGTAGAGTATAGAGAGCTCTTTGGGACAGGACTGACCGATCTGAGTGCAGCCTGTCACTCTAGTAATTGTTGCAAACCGTCCTGGAGGGCCTGGTTGATCTTTCTGGTAGATCTCACTGTTAGGAAACGAAGGCCCCAACTCCTTTCCTAAACCCCTGGTTGAAACCCTGACAGCTGACTTAAACCCCTCTTCCTTAAATTCTGTATCTATATGGATTTTTCCTTCATACGGTCTCTTTCTTCTGTTCCCACCCTGTACTAGCATCAGAGTCCAGAGGCCAGGATTCTGTCCCCAGCTTTAGTGTTAACTTGTTGTATGTGTCCTTGATCACCTCCCGTCTCCCTCTCTGAGCCTCCCTTTCTCCATCTGTAAAATGTGGTTGTTGGTCCAGCTCCAGCTTACTGTGATAACCATCAGTGAATCAATGTGGAGGACAGCAGCCACTTCTTTTTCCTTTCCTGAGCCAGGAGCCCCTTGTAGCATCCCTAGCAGTGGGGGCTCCATACTGGACGCAGCCTCAGATCAAGGGGGCCATGTCCTGCCCAAGTGCAGACTCTCCTTTGGAATAGCTGTAGCCAGTTCTAAAATAGCTCCTGACATTCTGCCTCTGCCTGGAGAAAGCCCTCGTATTTCATTTGCTGTGGATGCCAGAGACATCCTGATTTTCATTTTCTGTAGACCCAGATGTGTAGAGAGAAGGTCAAGGTTAACTGCCAGTTTGGCCTGAGCTTTCAAAGTAAATTACTCACTTGTGCAAGAGGGGATTGATGGAGTAAGGCAGCCTTTTGGGCAGAGAGAGGGGAGCAACAGCTGGGCGCTGCTCAAAGCCCTTAACTGAAATGGACAGAGAAGCTCATCTGGGAAGGTCTAGCTCTTGTTCATTTCTTTTTCTCTGGAATATCATGAAGGAGAAGAGGAGGAAGCAGTGGTAAAGGGTTTGATGATGGTGGTAGGAGGTGCCAACTGATGATCCTTGCTTTTAAGAAAAAATCTTAGCCTCCTGGGAGCCGCAGAATGGAGCTGTTTCCCCAATGATAAGCTCTTCTAGGTGCTATAGGATTCAGCATTCATCTGCTGCCTTTCAGGAACACGCTGCCAAATTTCCACACAGCCCCTTTTTGTTTCAGTCTCCTGCAGATGCACAGCGCTAGGCTTGGCCCCCAGTCCCATGTTTGAATGTCAGCTGGCCTTGAGGGAGGAGGCTGACTTCTGAGTGCTGGTATTCTATCCCTCCTCCCAAGTGCGCTGGAAGGAGCACCTACCAGGTCAGGCTGCTATCTGGGGAATCCGACATCTCTAACACACAGAGCTTTTTTCGACAGGGCCAACCGGTTCTGAGCTCAGCTTGTCACTCTTATAATTGTGGAGAATTATCCCAGAGCACTTCATTGATTTTTGGAGTAGAAACAACCACAGAGGCTCTGGAAGGAAGTCAGACAGCAGGACTTTATCCAAATGAAAACTATATTCCTTGTGGGTTTGAGAGAAGTTTCTTTGAGGGTAACATACCCACTGTTGTAGTCGTCCTTTAACTCCTTGATTTCTCCACTGGATTAAAGAATACAGGATTTCAAATTCAGAGCACTTACCACGTGCTAGAACATAAGTCTATATAGCCGTCCTGGTAGCTCATCCTGGGTGTACCACTGGAGCTGGGTAGGGCAGCTGATTTATAAAGGACACATAATGCTTCTAGGATCTGAGCATTCATCTGTCAGACAGCTGGCTTCTTGAAAAGCTGCAAAACCAGGCAATAAAAGCCAGTCTTGAAGCCATCTTCATTTTAATTTAGGGTTACCTCTCATTCCTAGTCCTGGTCTGTTTAACATCTTGGTTTAATTCTCTGGTCTGTTTCATATTCCAGGCTTGGTAACTGGCCATTAAAAACCCATGGTAAAGAAGTGTGGTGCAGTCCCTCCCCATTTCTGAGCCATAATCTCTTATGAAAATGACTTCATTGGATAATAGCAATTGTGGAATAGAAATTCGTGAGATAATGGAATACCAATGACTTTAAGTACCAAGAGTTTTTCTCATTGTGTCAGAGCTGAACTTTATTCTTAGAATATCCAGAAATCAATACTCCCCCCAGACCTTTTTTTTTTTTAAGTCTTCCTGGTAGCAGAGCCTTATCCATCTTAAAGTTAAGTACCATAGAAATGTAGCCTTGGAATGATTTCTTAAATTTTCCACAGAGGGGCTGGGATCCTTTAGATTGCTAATCTCTTCTCTGTCTGCATGCCCAGCTGAAATCTGATACCACCAGGGAAGGGTTGTTGATTTACCTAAGCAAATCTGACTTCCTGCATTCTTTTTTCTTCTCGGGTTTGCAGTCTCCCAGGGAGCCCAGCTGAGGAAGGTCAGGGGACAGAGGCCTGGGTTTCATTCTCTCTCTTGCCCTGAATTCACTGCGTAACTTCAGGAAAGTGGTTTAACCTCTCTGGGCCTCGGATTCTTCATCTGTGAAGTGAGGGCTTAGATTCGGAAGGGGAAAGGTAAATGTGCATCATATCTGTCCTTCGCCTCCCCTGGCCGGGGCAGACATTGCTTATCAGTCTCTTTCCCACTAAACCCAGACTTGAGCTCAGTTTGTTTCCCAGCAGTGCTGCAATATAGGGAACAGATACTTTGTAGGACTTTTCCAACTCCAGCATCCTGGGATTCTGTGAGTTTGTTTGAAAGCTTGTGTTGAAAAGGCCTGGAAAGAAGTGTGTTTAACAGGCCTCTGTATCTAATTGTGATGGGGCCACTACTTAGGGATGTGCTCATACTCTAATGCCTTCTCTCAGGCAGTGGTCTAAGGACATTCAGCCTTTAATCTCTTGGCTCCAGTGACACGATGAAAGTAATGGAATCAGGGATGAAAAAGCAAAGACCTATTTAAAAGATAACCATCTCACTTGCTAATTGTATCTTGTCCACAGTCAGCTGTTACACAGAGATGGCATCAGATCTCATCACTAAAAAACACCCTGAGGCAAACTTGGCAGCCAGAAGCGTGTCCCATGGAAGCTTAATGCTCATGACAGTATTTGCAGCAGGTTCTGTAGTTTGCATATATCTGACTGTATCCCATATGTGTGTCAGAGTCAGTAAGGCAAGAGCCGATGTCCCCAGGAAGACTTAAAATAAGAATCTTGTTTCTGAGAGAACGGCTGCCCAGCTGGGTGGGGAAAGGAGGCAGCCTCCACATGCCTGAATTTCTGTGGCTGAGGAGTGCATCGTGGCCTCCCCTCCCGGAAATGTCTTAAAGTAGGAACCACGTCCTCTTCCAGCATATAAGCCTTGACACCTGGAAGACAGTCGAGAGTGTTTGCTAAATGATCCCTGCGTGTCAGAGCAGGAAGGGTGCTACAGAAGTCATCTAGTCTAAGCCCCTTGTATTGCAGGCACGGAAACTGAGGCCCAGGAGAGGGGAAATCCATTCTCAAAGGGAAGGATACAGACCAGAGCCCAGTTCTCCAAATTATTGCTCTGTTTCACCACAAATATTTTTTTCCCTCCACATCCTAATATTTGATCCTTCTCTGTGATTATGTCCCTCATGAGCTAAGATTAGCAATCCCACTTCTGGAGGCCAGTACTTAACCAAGACCAATTCTGCCGGAATTTACTGGGCTTTTTTGCAGATCTATTTTTGTAAATTTTCTTCCTGAATTTTTATAGTTTTAAAGCGAGTAAAATGGGTTGAATTTTAAGGTGGCAATGGGATCCAGCAAGGGAATAGAGGAATTAAAAGGCTGCAAAGACATGGCTCCATTAC